CCCCCCGTTGTCTCTGGAAGTTCCATGCTAGCACACTGAATAACAGTGATGTTGTTCGAATATAAATAACTGGCTCAGAAATCTGGATAATTAAAGACAAGGTTGCCTCTCAACTCCAGCCATCTATCAGTTAAAAAGAAAATTATAAAATAGTGTGTGAGAAAGATCTACGAAGATTCCTAATTCCACTAAGCTGATTTTCAGGTGTTATCGCAAGTCACGTTTTTCTAAATACGTACCTTTACCTAGATTATGGTTTCATTGTAGTATAGCACCAGAAAACGAAGTAAAATTCGATTTAATAACAGATCGTCAAGTTAAATGATTGCTCCCAGTAAGTTTGTCTCTCAGGGGATGAGGGGTTGCATCGCAATGCTTTGGCGCACTTATATGCTATATAACAGAGCCTCTGGGCGAATGCTGTCGTCTTACTCCTAGAGTTTGAAATGAGTAAGGCCGCGACCACGCTGCAGTCGTCCACTCACTACCTGGAAGATGAAGCCCAGCGAGGGTGGTTCTACTGCGGCCATGTAGATAAACTACGGAGATGCTATTTCTGAATATCCATGCTGATGTTCGACGCCAAGCTTATTGGGTACTCAATCACTGATCCTAAGGCAATCGGTCGATCTAAGAATCTTGATACTTTGGTTTAGCGTTGTTAGTCACCCCTGGTCATGCGATAGAAATAGATCTGCTTTTTGTACGCGTGGTAAAGTGGGGGTAAGTAAAAAGTCATTCGACAGCTTCATGCCTTTTAAGTCATTCGGTTTCGGGTCGCGGAGTCATACGGTGTTCCTGATATTCGCCAATTTTCACTTTCAGCAGAAAATAGCATGAGTCTGGAGCAGAGTTCTTCGAAACATTTGCCTCAGGAAAATGATCCATCCCCGGATCTTTGGTTTGTCGGGTAGGCAATTACCAACGATTGCGCCTTTTTTTCTGGAAGCATTCGCAACACATGCCTAAACCATAGCTACTGTGATTACTCAGTCTTGTGAGCACAACGATTCGCTTCAAAAAGCCCACTTCAGCCGTTTGTGCCCCCAATCGAAGTCATTCACGACTTACGACTCATTACTGTAAGCGAGCATGAGGATGAAGATCGACTTACTTTTCAGACTGACCTTTGCCTTAGTTGCGGCAGAACTCCACTGGCGATTCTAACTTACCGATCGATGCCTTGCTCCCATTTTTCATCACCAGTAAACCCCACACCGAGTGACGTAAATTTCTCCACCTATTCCACTGCTTCTCTTTTCCTTCGCTTTCGCTTTATCTGCAGAGCGCAACGGACAGAAGAACATGAAAGCACTAAGTCTTGTTTTTCAGACACGGTCACATGCATGGCGGTCACGTCGCACTCACTTGCCAGCCTTTCCACAGAGCGCAGGAGATCAGTTTCAGAAGATGCCAGAAAGCAAGGTCGTCCGAAAACAGCAACCTTCGCTTCTTCACATCTCCTACACCGATACACTCATCGCCTTGGCTGCCCGTCTTTCCACGTGCAACACAAACAAGAGAGAGGATAGTACGCTGCCTTGGCGGAGACCAGTGCCCACGCTTAAAGGTTTCCACTCAACGCCATTTACTCTGACGCAGCACCTGCTATCAGTGATTGAATAGTCCGTAGCAACTGGCCATCGATCCCGTATGTTCGCAGGCACAAACATAGATTATTGCCCGTTATCCGAACGTAGGCTTTCTCTAGGTCAGCAAAGCACATACGCACTGGATAAGCGAACTCCAACCATTTCTCCACTATCAGGCGTAAAGCGACGATCTGGTCAAAAGTGCTTCGGCCTGACGTAAAGCCACACACTTTTCTTCATGTATATTGGAGTCAGTTATTACACCGCGGCGCTTCCTTTCTAACACCTTTGCGTAGATTTCACCCGAGAAACTGAATAGGGTCATCCTTTGATAATTGGAACACTTACTATAGTCTCCCTTCCTGAACATAGGTACTATGACTCCAGCTCTAAAATCCTCTGGTGTCTTTCCCCCAGCCATTGCAGTTTCATAGAGAAGCGTTAGTCACAACGTACCTTCTTCGCCTTAAGCATTAAGCATCTTAGGCTGATTTCGTTGACTCCACTAGCCCGGCTACTTTTCAAGCTTTCTTCAGCTTCTGTGACTTCGTCCACTGAAAGATTAATAACTGGTAGTGCTGCTGTTCGGCGAGTCATCCTGCGGTTGCTTGAGGTTAAAGAATTCTTCGAACTGCTTTCTGCATCGTCGAAGAATTTCTTCATTCCCGGTAAGATGGTGTTCAGACTTGTCTTTCAGAACTTTTAGACCTTTTAGACTCCCCTTCTTTTCACCTAGCAGACGGCAGATGGTCTGCAGAACACCTTGATCGCCGTTTGGAAATTCGACTCCTTCACATTATAGAACTTCTCCCAGGAATCAGCTTTAGCTTTGCGCTTTGAAATATCGCATTCAAGTTGAAGTCTCTTCGCTTCCAAGCCATTTCTTAAATGCAGCCCTCTTCTCATTGACGGCCAGTTGTACCACCTGTGTCGACCAGGAACTTATTTTCTAATCTCCAGGCGACAGAACAACCTGTTTGTATCCGCAGCATTGGGCTGCAACCGCCAAGTACGCTGCTCCTAAAGCGCTTCCACTGGGTTTCCTCATCATTGCAGTCTATTCAAACCGTCGTACGATGTTGTTTTCATGTTTTGCCCTCTTACCCGTAGAAAATGGTGTTTCCCATTTGATTTTCCGATTGCTTCCTGCTGCCAGGTCTTTACATGGTACTCGTTCGTTTACAGAGGAGAGTCCCAACATCAGCGTGATGATCATTCGACAGCTCGGCGCCTCTCTAAGACGAACATCCATTGTCGATGGTTGTAATTCAGACGATGCTAATGTCAAATCGATCGCCGACGTCTGTGCGCAAGCTTCCCCATGCAAAGTGTTCTGATCCTCGAATACGCTGTGCATAACAGACCGGTCGTTGATTGCATAAAACCGCTACAATTTGTTGCCCATATTATTTATGGATGCCATAGTCGGCATTTCTTGCATAGCATCTTCTACGTTTTCTGTTCTCTGTCAAAGTTGAGTATATATACCTGTAACAAGATCA